TATTAAACTACCAGGCACTGTTGATCAAAATTATGAAAACATTGACTATTTTTATATAATAGATGCAAGTTTTAACAAAAAACCTAAGCATTTGTTAAATATCAGCGTAGTACTTTTGCTGTTCCCAATATTGCTGTTTTTTTGTAACTCTTAAGTTGGCTTTGTGACTGAGCTTGCTTCAGTAGCATGGAGTACCATTGCTCCCCTCCCGGGATATTGTGAGACATGTATAAGTCTCGCAAATGCAATCTAGGAGAAAAGGGGGAGGAGCACCCTACTTAAGGGGTGATTCCCCCCTCCCCTCTTCCTTTCAGACAACCCACTAGTGTGAGTATTCTGGTCACCTTTTGGGGCCGGATAGGAATTTTAGACCCACATCCCAATTGGCTCTTGGAGGAGGGGATTTTTTGCCTATCTCACACTGGTTGAGGCAATTATAAGGGTGGACATTAATCGGTCACACAGGGGGGTAGTGCAGATAGAACATGTTTTAGTGAGTCCCTTCTGCTATCAGAGGTAATGTATAGCTCATCTGACCTCACAGCACTGAGTATTGTGCAATTACAGTGCTTGGGGGAAAAGATGCACTGGGGCCAAACCCGGACTGAAGGTCACCAAGATGAACATGGCTTGAGGCCTGGGGGTGGTCAAATTTGGGCCAGCTGGGCTCTTGCTGTCTTTATGACCATGAGACCTTGGGGCTAGGGACTCACCCATTTGTTTGGTAAGAGGTCCGTTGAGACCCCTGTGCAAAACCTGATTCCACACTACGGCAAGACCCCCCCCCTTCTAAGGAGGGCAATTAAGGAATATTCAATAAAATGTGGCCCGTGTTTTATTCCATAATACTTGCCTCGTGTTATTATTCCAGGGTGGGGGGCAATGATGTTATTCCTGAAATTGCTGATGTTGTTTAGCATATAGGTGTATCTTGCTGGGTTACGTTTATGGCTGGTTTTCTTGTGCTAATCTATGTCACCTGTATAGTTGAAAAAAATGTGCTTCTCGGAAAACTTACGGTTTTGGATTATTACATTTTTCACTCCATAAGATGCACCTTTCCATAAGACGCACCAATTTTTTAGGAGAAGAAAACAGGAAAATATAATCTGTTTTCTTCGCTCCATAAGACGCACAGACTTTCCACCACCCCCCTGTTTTGTGGGGAAAAAGTGTATCTTATGGTGCGAAAAATACGGTACTTCAGAAATAGCCCAGCTAACATGGCAAGCAAAATTTATAGCCTATAACGAGTAACTTGTCCACGCTGTGATCACAAGCGAATTCATTCCAAGATAATAGGCATAATAAAGAGAGCTATTGCAGATTTTGAATAGGCAGTCACTTTTGATTATGGGGTATGGTGGTGCTGGAAAGGATTGACTGCACCACAGAAGGTACTTTGAACCTACCTGGTTAAACCAACTGGGCCATACAATGGCATCTTCTTGAATAGTGAGCACTTGGCCTGGCAGAAAATGTGGATCTATCTTTCCAATCTTCATCCTAATGAATGACTGGTTTGGGAAGGTGACCCAGTTTATAATATCAAATCCGGTCTCTAATTCTCCATTTTCACTAAATGAAATCCTTTGCCCAGCACTGTTGTTAAACGAAATGCTTCTTAGAAAGTTGAAAAGCTAAAGAAAGCAAAAGGATGATAATCTTAGCTTGAGTGTATCACTAAAGACTAGTTGTAGTAGCAGTAGTAGTAGAAGTAGTAACATTAGTAGTAGGAGAGGAACAAGAACACTGGCAACAACAACAAAAATAACAGTGATCTGTAAAAGTACATGATGATTTACAGTAGTAGTTTCCAGCTTTGAGTAACCAAGGTGTTCTTGAACTGCAATTCCCAGAAGCTTTCGCTATCAGCTGTGCTGGCTGAAGTTCCTGGGAGTTGCAGTCTATGAACACCTGAGTTACCCAAGGTTGGGAACCACTGTTTTACAGAATAACACAATCAAAAAGAAGCAAATAAATCACTCTGTTTTTCTACTAATATTAAGAATTTAAAACAAGAATTACAATTATGTTTTCACTCTTCCTCAAGGGGAAATATTGATAGCTATAAAACCTGGCGGTGGTGGTGAAATACTGAGGTCCAAATGACGGCAAATATTTGATGGACAGCAAGACAAGATGTGTGAGACACTGTTTTGTTTTGTTTGTGTGTGTACGGGGGGGGGGAGGAGGCTGTACTATTTTCAAGCATGAGGATAATACCTTTCAGCTGGATATTGTAAGGCAATCATTGTTCATTTCCTGCAAGGAGTTAAGACCATACAAGTGAGGAGAAACGAAATATGACAAAACAACATCCCAGAAGAACTTTGAAGTTGGAGAGAAGAGGCAGAGAAAAGCAGGATGCATGGCCAACTCGCTAAACATTGGACACCTCTTTGGCCTGATGGATCCAGAGTTGAAATAAACAGATCTGAATATGGAGGTGTTTGATTAAAATTGACTGGGTTTGTCTGGGTTATTACTTTATGTTCTTATGTGGAACTCTGAAGTTGCAGATGTGTATTCTCTGTTCCACTCAAGCTGGGCCCAAGATATTGGTCCTTATATGATACTTTAACAGTATTGAGGGGCATTGGCTGCCTTCTCCTGAAAAAAAAAATACTCTGTGGAATCAGTAGACTTCCTCAGTTGCAGTGTTCAAATTAAAATTTTGGTGCTTCCCCCTGCTCAGAGCACGGGCTGAATATGGATCCAGCTATAGGCTAACTGTGTATCAGTACAGAATCCAAATACAGAAAAATAACATGCACCCTGTTTAAAGTTCCCAATGCCACCAGCAACATTCTCCCAACCTTATAATGAATGATTCAGAAGGCTGAGATCAGCAGAACATTAGCTTGCAAAATTCATAATAAAATCAATTTGAAAAGAATATAATTTGGCAGTTCGGCGAATTTGGTTTTTGGCAGAACAGGTGTTTGGGAGATCCCAGCCCAACCTCCTCTGGTGAGCACCCACTCAAGAAGCAGCACCCAAGGGAGAAGGGGCAGGAGAGCTGGAGCACTGCCTCTGGGTATGGACCTAGGCAGGGCTAGGAAGTGCAGAACGCCTGTTCAGCTGAAAAATGAACTGGCATGCACTGTCGAGCCAGTGGTTTGTGCCCATCTCTAAAGGTTAAAGGTTCCCCTTGACAATTTTTGTCCAGTCATGTTTGACTCTAGGGGGCGGTGCTCATCCCCGTTTCCAAACCATAGAGCCAGCGTTTTGTCCGAAGACAATCTTCCGTGGTCACATGGCCAGTGCGACTTAGACACGGAACGCTGTTACCTTCCCACCGAGGTGGTCCCTATTTATCTACTTGCACTTGCATGCTTTCGAACCGCTAGGTTGGCGGGAGCTGGGACAAAGCAACGGGAGCTCACTCCGTCGAGTGGATTCAATCTTACGACTGCTTGGTCTTCTGACCCTGCAGCAGAGGCTTCTGCGGGTTAGCCCACAGTGCCACCACGTCCCTGTGCCCATCTCTAAACATAATTAAATACAGTTACCGATAATAAGTCACAAAAACTTCAGTGGAAGTAAAAACACAGATAAAACAATAAACCAGAATTGGTAGTAAAGGTCACCACTCTATTCTGTTACCTGCCAGGGCTGAAGATTCATTATTGTCTGTGTTCCTCTACCTGGCTCTGCCCTGCTTCTGAATTTGAAGTTATACATGGCATGCAATGCATGGGCCACAGCATAAACAGCATTGTAGGTGCTGTAGCTGTGAGGTGTGGTTCTCATTTCAAAAACAGACTCCGGAAGGTACTCCAGCTTCTCTTCTCCAGTGCACATCTCTGAAACGTCTACTGCTGAGCTTGAAATCACACAGTTAAATATTTGTTCCCAGAAATTCTTAATAAAGCCGTCTTCTTTTTCTGAGTTTGGATTCTTTTGCTGCAGAAAATTCCGGAAGCCTACCACCTCCTCTGAAAAACTCAGCAAGGATAGAGAGCCGTGAATGAAATCTATATCCCAATTTTGTTGAAGAGGAATTGATGTGAAGTCCATCTGACCTGACATAATCCAGATTTTACCGATCGTCTTCAGTGATGTGTCATCGATATGGGACATTTGGAGCAAAAATCTCAAAACGATGATTGTTTCAGTCTCACCATATACAACCAACACCCTAGCTGTGCTTCCTGCGACACGCCTGTACTTTTCAAATTGCTTTTCTACATTTGCAGATAACTCAGTGGAAAAAACAACTTTGACAAATCTTTCTATGAAGTCAAAGCAGATCCCACTCTGGGAAAACAAAGGAAGCACTTTCTGCACAAATCTCTCTGCATTGTCATCATCATGACAAATGACCCCAATCCAAGTCCATTGGAAATGCAGCAATAACTGGATAATACCCACATACTGATGAGCCTCATTGGGGAACATCTGATGCAAGAAAACTGTTTGGATTTTATTATCCATCACTGGAGCAGACCCATATGTGAGCTAAAAAGAATAAGGGAGAGAAAAGAAAAGAAAGAGCAAGAGAGAAGGAGAGAGAGATGGAGATGGCTTCAGAATAAAGCAAAAATTAAGTGTGTACTTCTCCCCAGATATAACCTCAATTGCAATATAGATTTTGTTTCAGCTCTGTAGAGAAGATAGTCAGAAGCAAATTGCAAATTTGGTATTCGCGAAGGCTTTCACGGCCAGGATCTAATGGTTGTTGTGGGTTTTTCAGACTCTCTGGCCGTGTTCTGAAGGTTGTTCTTCCTAACATTTCACCAGTCTCTGTGGCCGGCATCTTCAGAGGACAGCACTCTGTCGCAGTGACAGATAATCTCTTCTCCTTACCACAACAATACACCCACAACAAGACACACTAATCACCCATCTCCTGAATAGGACAAAAGCCATAAATACTCCACTCCCAAGCAAACTACACCAGAGCACAGAGTGCTGTCCTCTGAAGATGCCGGCCACAGAGACTGGCGAAACTTTAGGAAGAACAACCTTCAGAACACGGCCAAAGAGCCCGAAAAACCCACAACAATCATTGGTAGATAACGCTTAGCAGCACTTGGCAGCCTGATATACTTCAACTAAAGGGATGCCACAACAGAAACCTATCTCATCTTTCTTGATGGATTTGCATCACCCAGCCAAAGGTCCAGCCAGATGGAACCATTTTAAAGCAAGGCTCCCAAGTGCCATTTTCAAAAAAAATTCCTATATGGACATTGTGGCTGATGGCAGCAAATGTGAATGAGATGGCCAAATACCAGAGCATTTTCCACTGTGGTTCATCATTCAAACCAAGATAGTTTCAGTGACAAAATCAAATCTGAATCCAAATTGAGAAGACTCCGAAAACCTAGCTTCATATAAGAAAGCCTGGAGGCAAATTGCCATTACTCGCTTTAGAAAGATTGGACATGGGGCAATACTTTCCTGGACTTATGAGATCCAAGACAGTAGAACACATTCCTTTAGAGAAACCTAATTACCATTCACTTTGGTATGATTGTACTCACAAAAATAATTATGATGTGAGCTCACAAGACAAAGAAATGAGTAGGTTCCTTGCTCCTAAATATTCATCCTTCTTGCCAGTCCTTATGTTAAGATGGAGCCCTTGTTCAATCTAGTACATATGTTCCATGCGTTTTATTGTGGTTCTGTCTGTAAGACCCATAATACATAAGCTTTGGTCATGCTGACTGAAGCTTATGAGAGTTTAGCACCAGTCTTCCTATTTCTGTTTTACTGCATGGGTGCATATAGGATGTCAACTGCAGAATTCAAAAATATTAGTGTGGAAGTGGATAAAATTACAGCCTCAGAAAATTAGCTGGTGCCAGTCAATTTGTTATATCAATGGGTAAAATTTAAGTAGAATTGTTAAAACAGGTATAGATGAGGAAATAATGTCAAATGCTGGAGCTTAGAATTTCATAGGAATAAGCCCTCACTTTTACCAGCATCTCCAACTTCCTCTGCCGCTTGCCCGCTGAGGCTAACTAGGCATGAGACAAGACCACTACACAATACCTTTAGGGTTGTTTACAGTCTATGAAAATTATATCACATTTAGATAACAATTAGTCCTGGAGCACTATTCCATTTCTCTACCTGTCCTGTCTCTCTCACACATTGTTGATTCATGACTTGAAATCATTCTTGCAGATTTTCTGTGGAAGCTATCGCCTACTTCCCTATATCAATCATTCCGGCAAGACCCCATAGAGCTAGAAAGACGACCATAAATTCACAATAGAATTTTTGACCCCTTTAATGGACAAAAATACATATACAGAATTTCACAGGTTATAACATAAACTGTTTCTGAGACAGTTTTTAAAACTATTGTCCATTTTACCTAAATTGCTGGAATTCTTTTCTTTTCCTAATTTGATTTTTGCCCATATTAAATCTTTCAAATATATAACTGTTGCCTTAAAATACTTCATATTTTTCACTTGCGCCCAAGTGAAATTGCACACTAGCAATGTGGACTAGGTGCAGACTAATTCATCAGTTTCATCTTGAGGGAAGTATACATGGGATGTGTGGAAGGCATGTTCCACAAAGTTGGCATAAATCTTACCTGGGGAATCTTGTATGTGCCTAGAATGGTTGACATGTGAAGACAGATGTCCGAGTTTGGTCCTCCAATGACTGCTACCAGTTTAGTCCAGATGTCACACTTGTAGTTGGGGATGAATCTGCCTACTGTGGAAAGAAGGTCCATTGAGGTGTAAAAGGTCCAGCTTGGACTGAAATTGCTGCTATCAATGTGGAAGCCCAGAGTAGTGTTTTGTAAAAGTGTGGGATTTTCATTCACTTCCTTTGTGGCAAATACCATGGCTTGGATGTGCTGGTAGTTCTGAGGCACTACCCTGAAATAGGAATTACTTGTTTATTTTATTTATTTATATATTTATTTTATTTTATTTATATCCCGCCTATCTGGTCGGATCAGGACTACTCTAGGTGGCTAGCATCACAGTGTTGCATCACAGTGGACCTATTTCAGATTATAACATTGGCTATATTTCAGTCCACAGTATTAATGCATTGTGTTAAATATTAATATTTAGCTTTTAATAAATACAGATGGAATTTCCACAAATAGGGAATGGTAAAGCATCCTGCATAGAATAAGTGAGATATAAGTAACTTGTTATGTGCCGTCAAGTCAGAACCAAGTTACGGGAACCCTCATAGTCTTGTAAGGTCAACAAGATATTTAAAGAATGCTTTTGCCCCTCCCAGTGAGTTTCTATGGCTGAGCAGAAATTTGACATCAGGCCTCCCAAACCCTAGTCCATCAATGTATCCACTACACCACATTGGGAATCTCATGATTCCATGACTTAGGTCCCATTAATTGAATTGGCATGGCCAAGCCAGGAACCAACCCATACTATCTAAATATAAAGATGGTTGGATTGCAATAATCTTAATTTGTTTAAAAAGAGAAAAAGAAGAAAAGCATAATGCAGCACCAGTCATTCAGCTCACCCACTCAGAAGACAACTGATCCATATAGCAGCAGTGTCTCAGAATATAGACAGAAATAATATAATTAAAAACTCCAATTCTTACACAGTATCATCAAAGAGTTCTTGTGAGGGATAATTTTCAAAGGACGGAGGCATGGAGAATATGAAGGTTTGAGAAATAATACCACCAATTGTAAGTTCTCCTGGGCCTATATATTTGTGAAGGATAGGAAGAGGGTCGCGGATTCTGCATTTGATCCTGCACTCAGTCTGAGAGAGTAGCACAAATAACTCTGCCACAAACACCATCATCCTTCTAGATGACCATTAAGCCGTTTCCAGGTGTTCACTGAGGTGTTTCTCGGTATTATATCCTGATAAGAATGGTTTAAAATGCCAACAGAGTAATTCTTAACTCTGTCTCAAGCATTAGCAATGCCTTTTTCATCTTGGTTGCTAGAGTTGGTTGTTGTCATTGGAACTCCCTGGAAACATGGACATGAATAATCTTGGTTATTACTGATAATTACTGGGTAGATAACCGGTTATTTCCATATAGGTTCTTTGTGACATTTGTGGAGGGGGAAAAACTGTTTTTTACATATCATCAGAAATCTATTTTGGTCTTCTGTAATGGGACAATTAGAAACAGGTAGGCATTAAAAAAAGAGAAAAACATAGCCAGAAAAGATTTCTGTAAAGAAATGCAAAGGATGGGCCAAGTGCTTGAATAGTTGGGATTTAAGATGTGAACACACAGAGGCCAATGTCCTGTTGCTTAGTTACACTTGTGGAAAGCAAATGACATAATTCACAGTGGCTTCCTACTGCTAGATATTGCATCCCTGCTTGAATTTGCAGATGAATGCCAGTCCAGCAGGTTGCTGTAGACCCAGGAATCTAAGCAGGGACTTCTTAATTGCCACAAGTTACACTATTGCTTTCCACAGATGCAACAGAATTTTGGTCATTGGGGAAAATAGACACTGTTTTATAACCTCACAAAAATCTAGCCTCAAACATAGACTACAGTGGTGCCCCATAAGACGAATGTAATTCGTTCCATGAGAAGCGCTGTCTTGCGAAAAAATCATCTTGCAAGGTTCCCATAGGGAACCTCGCAAGACGAATGAAATTTATTCATCTTGTGAGGCATCGGTCTTGGGGGGGTACACCATTTTGCAAAGCATGGCCGTAGAAGAAACTGTCTTGTGAGGCACCATAGCGATCGCAAAAACCAATCGTCTTGCGGGTTTTTCGTCCCACAAGGCATTCGTCTTGCGAGGCACCACTGTACTGCAGTTGTCACTATTTTGGGCTCCTCTTGAAAAGAGTACAGAAACTTCAGCAGGTCCAAAATGTCGTGGCCAGATTGTTTTCTCGGATTAGTAAATTTGACTATGTATCCCCAGTTTTGGTGCACCTTCATAGGTTCCTTGTCAGTTTCTGTGCTCAATTCAAAAACCTGGCTATGACCTATAAAGCCCATAACAGTTTAGGACCTTGATACTTGTCGGAATGTCTCTCCCAAAAATCAAGCTACCTGTTTCACCTGGTGTTCCATGGTGCTAAAATGGCCACACTGAGGGAGGCCAGAATGGTGAAGACAAGAAATTGGGCTTTCTCAGTGCTGGCCTCGAATCTCTGGAAAAGGTTACCAGCAGAGATATGACAGGCCCTCCCCTCCATATGTTAAGGAAATTGTTGGAAACAGAACTATTCAAAGCAGTTTTCAAATATTGAGTCTCCCATAAGCAGTTAATCTTTATTTTTAAAGATTTTTATTTTTAAATAATCTTTTATTTTTATTTCATGTTCTCTTTTTTCTTTTTGTATGTTTTTTTAAAAAATTGTACATTTTTTTTAAAAAAATTAAAATATTCTGGTATTATTGTCATGTGGGGTCTATGGGAGTTTTATTTTAACTTGTAGACCACCTAGAGTCATCCACTTATTAATGGGGCAGTATATAAATCAAATTAACTTATTAGATAACTAGACTGAGTTTGATGTGGTGATCACTTTCTTTTTAACTTGCTAAGGACCAGGATGAGAATTTTTTGTGCCTGAGACAGAACAAAAGAATCAAGATTTTCAAGCATGTAGACAAGTCAGTCTGTTGCCAAACCAAAAAGAATCCTGGGGCATCTTTAAGACTAACATGTTTGATATTTATTGGAAGTTTTCATGGACTGTTATCCACTTCTTTAGGTGCACAGTGTTTCTGCATAAGGCAGACAGTAAAGAAGAGGATTGTTGTTGTTTAGTCGTTTGGTCGTGTCCGACTCTTTGTGACCCCATGGACCAGAGCACACCAGGCCCTCCTGTCTTCCACTGCCTCCCGGAGTTGGGTCAAATTCATGTTGGTAGCTTCAATGCTTGGGCCCATATGCTTTTTTGTACAGTTGTGTTTGAGCCAGCCCTGAGTGCTTTAGTTAAACAGTGTCTCACGATTTCTAAGACCATGTTCCTAACAACAATTTTCAGTGGGGAAACAGCACAAGGTATGGGGCAACATCAGCTTTTGAATCTATTAATCAGAACTCAATTCAGATTTTTAACTCCATTTCAGCTAAACAGAGATTCATGCTGGCAAAGGAATTCCATGTTAAGTTGCCAAAAATATTTATATCTTATTTATAAGATATTAAAAATCGATAACAAATATTCAAAAATGCAGAGGTTCAAGCTGTGAAAATACCGTTGTTTTGGTTTGTGGTTGTGGGTTGTATTACATGATGTTAGTAGAGCTTTGGTGCTTATATCCTCTCATAGACTGAAAGATTCCACCGTTCTTGACATTATAAAATTGTTTGGCAATTTAAAACCATTTTTCCCTAAAGTTGTTATGTATGTTCTTTCAAGTCAGTTCTGATGTTTGGTGACTATATGAGTTAATAATCTCCAAAATGTCATATCATTAACAACCTGATGAGTGGGTAAGAAGTGATTAACTGAAGAAAAAAGCAGACAGCTTCTGGGATATCTCCTTGCTTGGTATCCCTTAATGAATGATAATGAGCATGAGAGGGTATCCTGTAGATCAATGGTGCCCAACCTTTTCTGAACCGCAGACCAGTTTAGTGTGTACGCAGGGGTCCATGCAGGTGTGTCCATGCAGGTGTGGGTGGGGCATGTGTGCATCCATGTGTGGGTGGGCAGGGCATCTGTGCATGCATGTGGGGGTGTACGTGCATGCATGCATCCGTGGGCGGGACGTGTGTGCATCTGTGCATGTATGTGGGGGATGTACATGTGTACATGCATGTGGGGGGCATGTGTGCAGGGAGTGGGAGATCTGTCTCCGTGGCCTGCTCCTGCCAAGGCCATGGCCCTGTACTGGGCTGCAGACTGGGAGTTGGGGTCCCCTGCTGTAGATCATCTTGAATCCTGGCATCGCCATTGTCAACATACAGGCTGCCTTCTGCTATATAAAGGATGATATCATTTTTCCCACTGGAAATGGGGCCCCAATATTGTCCTAGGGATATGCAGGTAAATCTCCCATCAGATTCCTTCCTTCCTTCCTTCCTTCCTATCACCTCCCTCAGTCCAATGTATACAACATGGTTTAACTATGTCTCTTATGTTTTTCACTTTCAATATCACATTGATCATCCTTTGAATATTCACCGATAGTAGCCTTTCCCAGCAAATCCTTCCTGGCCTAAATTGATATATTTAACCATGATTTTATTCAAATTCAAAGCTATAATAGATAACCAAATTTTGAAATATTGATGCTAAGAAACAAGAGGAGTGTGCATTGTTTGTTTGGAAGTCAATTACATGGGATGGGCAATTGGAAATCTCAGTGAGTTGAGATATGTACCTTGAAACATAACACAAACTCTAACCTTCAACTCAATGGGGGTCAGAAAGAATTTGCTGGGATTCTCTGCAAATCAAAAACTGTTTGAAATTATAAAAAAAAATGTTTTTCAAAAAATTACTACATGAGGGTTTAAATGTATTCCATTGTTTTAGCTTTTATGCATCTGCTATTGTTGTTTGGTAAGCTGCTTTGAGTCTTGTATGTGAATAAAGGTGGAATATAAAATAAATAAATGGAGAAATAAATAGCCAGTTTCACCAGTTTCAGTGCAGAGAGATGAGTTGAGAATACCAACATTCCACTAGACCTACTGAAAAACTACTTTTTTGTTTCTCTTTCTTCCCCATTTCATTTGCCTTGCAGTCCAATTGAGATGCAGCCTGGTGGATCTCTCGAAAGTATTTGGAAGTTTCAATGGGACCATCACTGTGTCTCCAGTTGTCTGAGTGCTATGAGCAGAGGCAGTGCCCGGGTATCACGTTCCTAGGGGACTCAGCAGGCAAAAGTCCAAGAAGCCAGTCCAATGTCAGAAGTCCAGGAGATACAAAACAGATGCCAAATTGTCAAAGCCAAAACACAAACCATAGTCAGAAGTCAGAGTCCAAAGGCCAAGGGTCAAGAGAGCAAGGTTCAAGATAAGCAGGAGCATGGACACGAGCCAGAGAATTTACTTCCAAGCCTCTGGATGCAAATTATATAGCAGCAACAGTCATCTAATTCCTAGAAATATTCCATCCTGTTAAATCTCAGGGCTGGTTGACCTGATGTTCCTGTGGGAAGCGTTCATGCGAGCCTCAGACCTTCATGTTGTGAGTCCCTGCCGGAGCTTATCTGTTAATCTGGGTACTTGGGGAGGAGAATCTGGTGGTGATTCAGCTGTCTGTGATTCGAATTGCCCAGCAATTTCTTCAACTGTAATTAACCCCTCTGGTTCCAGATCTTCTTTGGCTGAACTTATGACACTGAGCTCCTTGGAGAGAAGCCAGTCACTGCTTCTGAGCATACATCTGCCACCCAGCTGATCCAGGCAATCAACTGGGGGTCAGTAGCATGTTCGTGGTACCAGGGCTCCTTGCAGGGAAGCTAGTTGCTGGCTCTATGCATGAACCTGACTGCCAGCCAATCAGAGTGATCAGCTAGAGGTAGGACACACAGGCAGAAACAGTGGTCATCTTCCTGTTGCGGTGGGTCCAACTCCAAAGGCGGATGTGGCATTTGCCTCTCCAAAAGCATGGAGTCAGATTTGGATAATGACGCTTCCAAGAGCACTCTGTTAGGGAAAAACAAAACTTGGAGCCCAAGACAACAAGTTGTACAGAATCTCTTATCTGGTGGCTTCAAATCCTCCCCTTTATAAGCAGAGCAAAGATGCGGATGTACAAGATCAGCTGTGAGATGGATGGATGCTCAGAGACGATGGCTGTTTTTCCTGCAAGGAGACTGGGTGCTGCCTTTGCACATGGCACCTGGGTACCTG